AGGGAGAAGCAGGCTTCCCGCGGAGCAGAGAGCCCGATGGGGGCTCAATCCCAGGACCCTGGGATCATGACCTGAGCCAAAGGCAGACGCTTAACCACTGAACCACCCAGGCACCCCACAAATAGACCTTTTTAAAGCCAGCATTAATTCAGCCCTTAACAGCACGTTAGGCACAGTTCTGAGCTCTCTACAGTGTTAACTTGGTCCTCACAACAGCCCCAGATGTAGGTCTTAATGCCCAACAGAAAGAAAATAAAACAGGCAAAAAGATTAAGGAGCTTGCTTGAGTGGCTGAGCCTGGCAGTTCACAGCAGAGGAAATGCAAATGGCCATATGAAGAGACGCTCAGCTGCCTTAGAGGTCAGGGAACTGAAAATGCAAACACCAACAGCATCTCATTTTTTTATCCACCCACAGGGCAAACTTTGCAAAAGGTGGGTAACTCTCAGCGTGTGGAGGTGTGTTCTGGCACTCACATGCCCTGCTGGTGGGAACATGAATTGCTCCAAACTTTTGGGAAAACAATTTGGCAGAATTTATTGGTGTTCAATGATGTACCATATCTTTATCCATTCATATATTGATGGACGCTCCGTTTGTTTTTCTTATACTGGCTATTGTAAATAATGCTATCGTGAACATAGGACTTTATTTTAAGAACCATATTAGGCTCAGTCAGTTAAGTGTCTGTCTTCGGCTCAGGTCATGATCCCGGGGTCCTAGGATCGAGCCCCACATTGGGCTCCCTGCGGAGTTGCTTGGAGTCTTCTCCCTCTCCCTCTGCCCCTCCTCCGCTGGTTCTCTCTCTCTCTCTCTCTCTCTCTCTCTCGTCAAATAAATTTTAAAAAAAGAAGAACCATATTAGTCTAAACAAACCTGAAAGACCTGAGCTTAAATCCCAGTTCTGCTGCTTATTTCAGGACAGTCCTGAGCAGCACACTTAACCGCTCTAAACTTGTTTTCCCACCTTCAAATTAGAGAAAATAGCAGTGCCTACCTCATAGGATTGTTCTGCCCTCCACAATAAGATCCTGAATTTGAAAGAACTCTCTGTGCACAGAGGGCTGTGGGAAAACCAATGGTTGTTATCATCTGTAATCTCACATCTCTATACGCCCCTGACAGGTGCCATCCGGATTCCAACAGTGTCTTTCAGCCCCGAGAACGTTAATGCAACAGCCCTGGCTGAGTTTGGAGAATACATTCGTACAGGTCAGCCACAAGCTGGCGTTGGGGGGCGGGGGGGCGGGGGGGCGGGGGAGGTAGAGCATAGCCCTGCAGACACAGTTCTTTTACAAGGAGATGAAGAAGCTTTTGTTACTGACCAGAGGACAGTCAAATCGCTGTGGGCCTATTTTGAGTTTTCACACAGTGGGGAGGAATAGAAGCTCCCCAGGAGTCAGAATGGAGGCAGAGTAGAGACTAGATTTATTGGACCTTTGAAAAACTAAAGCACGTAGCTGTTGGGTTGGAGTTTGAACTCTCCCGACCTTTGCCCTAGATATGTAACAGTCAATAAATAAGATAGAATCAAAAGGTAGGATGAGGAAAGGAAATAAAAGGCACAGCATAAGGAATATAGTCAGTGATATTCTAATAGCCATGTATCAGGACAGATGGTAGCTCCGCGTGTGGTGAAGACAGCATCATATATAAACCTGTCAAATCAGTAAGTTGTATACCGAAAACTAAGGGAACATTTGTGTCAACTATACTCAAATTAAAAAAGAAAAAAAAGGTAGGACTAGGAATTCCTTCTTCCCATCCAAGTTTCCAGAACTATACCCCATGCTCCTCCCAACTACCTCCGTACACACACCTACACACCTATGTACACACTCCACCCACCCAGGTCTTTCCCCAGATTCTTTACTGACCCGTTTCTGAGCTTCAAGGCCATCAGCAACTATGAGCTGCCATATCAGCCCCTCACCCCCACGTGACCCGAAGAAGGGATGGGTCAGGAAGAAAAAGGAGACTTGGGACTCCCTAGTCCTCATATGAAAAGCTCATGGAGAGTAGTGAAGCCCTCTTCCTAAATCAAAGAAAAAACACCCCCTCCAAAGTTGTCAGGGCTGGGAGGAGCTGACCTAGGTACAGCAAGTAGCCCCCTCTCTAACACTGTCTGTAACCTGAGTGACCCTGAGAACATCCACACCTGCACGCAGAAGTGTGGCCTTGTGCTAGACAGGGCAATCTTCTCTCCATATGACACACACAGTAGGAATATTATTTTATATTATTTTTCAAGTAAAAAAAGGTCTTTCTCTCTCTCTCTCTTTTTTTTTTAATATAAGGGTCATGTTTGGTTCCAAGTAATTTGGCTATTGGGGACTACTATATTTAAAATTTAACACACTCCTCGTCGGTATAGCCTGGTAGCATATACTAGTGATAACTTATTACAGGTCAGACCAAGCCAGATCTTGATCTATCAGCTGTCACCATGATGGAATCTTGATGTGCCCATTATTACATAGTAGTAGCACATTAAAATATGAGGAAGAGGAATTTTAGAGATTGTCCAGGCAAATCAGGAATCACACTGTCTTTGTTCCAGAAGGCTTCCTGTAGGACGCTGCATGCTTTCAAAAAGGGGTACAGGGGTAAACATTTTCTATTAAATGGTAGGAAAACCAAAGGAAATTGTTAAATCTGGCTTTCTCTCTCCCTGCTTTTCATCCCTTTGTCCCTAGTTTTTCCGACAGTTTTCAAAACCAGCTTTATCCGGCATGAAGTCATAGGAGAGTACAGCCACCTGCTCACTGTCCGAGGCTCAGACCCTAGCTTGCAGCCCTACATGCTAATGGCGCACAGTGACGTGGTGCCCGCCCCTGACGAAGGCTGGGAGGTGCCCCCGTTCTCTGGCTTGGAGCGTGATGGCTTCATCCATGGCCGAGGCACACTGGACAACAAGAACTCTCTGATGGTCTGAAATGCTTTGTTCCCTCTGCCCGGGGGCCCTAAAGAGTCACCCAGGATGAGGATCCTCAGCTGACCCCCCAGGAGATGGGGGGTTATGGTAGAAAGAACCTTGGCTCCAGGAGCCCTGGGTTCCAGCCATCACTTGGTCACTGTCCTTTTCTGGGTCTTGATTTCTCAGCTGTGAAACAAGGACTAGAGTAGATGATCTCCAGAGACCCTTTCAGCTCTGCACTGATACATTTATGCTTTTCTCCAGCTGGTAAAGGAGCTAAGCTTCCTCACCTCCCATCCCCCCAGGGCCACTTGAATTTGTTCTCTTTTTTTTTTTCTCTTTTTT